CTTGGATTACTGTAATATTGAATGGTTTGCCTTGGAAACAAGCAGAGATCTTGCAGTCATTTTTGAGATTGCGCAAAAGTACTGCATTTCAACTCTTTGTTGACTATAATGGCTACTCCATTTCTTCTAAGGGATTCTTGCCTACAGTAGTAGATATAATGGTCATCTGAGTTAAATTCACCCATTCCAGTCCATTTTAGTTCCCTGATTCCTAAAATGTCGATGTTCACTCTTACCATCTCCTGTTTGACCACTTCCGATTTGTCTTGATTCATGACCTAACATTTCAGGTTCCTATGCAGTATTGTTCTTTACATCATCAGACTTTGCTTCCATCACCCGTCACATCCACAACTGGGTGGTGTTTTTGCTTTGGCTCTGTCTCATCATTCTTTCTGGAGTTATTTCTCCATTCTTTTCCAGTAGCATATTAGGCACCTACTGACCTGGAGAGTTCATCTTTCAGTATCATGAGAATAGTGTCATGTTTTTTTTAATTCCATATTTTTAATTCTGATTTTGAACTTTTAAGGGCAACCATCAGTCAGCATTTGAATCAGGAATATGGATGACAGATGCTCAGAGGGCTAGTCAGCTTATCATAGCCTCATACTTCTGGTGTTTAAAGTACAGCAAGGCAGGAATGCTATCAGCAGGTTTCTCTTCATAACAGGGTCAACTGGAACTTTGTATTCATTCTTCATTGTGTTATTTGTGTCCTTCACTTACAACAAGACAGACTCTTGATTACTAATTTGTTTTCCCCGTCTGCTAATGTATTGTTATTACTGATGTAGACTGCCTAATGAGATTGATAGCTTAAAAAAAAAACTTATCCTCGTAAATGCTTTATTCTTTGTCATTTCTTATGTTAGAACCAGGACGGTCAGTTTTCAAATTAAAGTGCACATACATAACTTTGAACACTTGATGGCGCCAAACAGTCTTAAATACAATGCCTGGTGTTTAAAAAAAAAAATTAATGTAGTAATCTACTAGATCTCACAGAGCAGCCTTCTAACTTTCCTTTTTTAAAATAGTAATTTTTGGAAACATTTTCAAACCTTCAGAAAAGTTACACATGCAATACAAATAATTCCTTTTCCTTAACCTTGTGGGAGTTATTTGTTGCTGTCTACTGCACAACTTCAAATAATTTAATATTTCTTAAAAACAAGAACATTCTCCTAATATCTTAATACAAAAATCAGGAAATAACATAAAGATTATTATCACTTAATCCTTATTCAAGTTTTGCTAATTATCCTAATAATGAACATTATAATAAAAGGATCTAGTTCAGAATCACATGTTGTGTTTATTTTCTGTCTCTTTAGTTTCCTTAAATCTGGAACAGTTTCACAATTACTTTTTAACATTTATGACTTTGATACTTTGGAAGATTACATGCCAGATATTTTGTAAACTGTCCCTTGTTTGGGGTTTGTGTGGTTTTTCCTCATGTTACATTGATGTTGTACACCTTTAGTAAGAATAACACAGAAGTGATTCTGTGCTTTCGCTTTATCCTGTCAGGTGCTGCTTGATTTTGATTTGCTTCATGTGGATGCCCACATCACCTGCTCAGGCCCCGATACTCATGCCAGGATACCGTAGTTCACTTTCTTGCTCTGCCTCATGTGATGGTTCTAGTTTAGAAGAGTCCAGGAAGGGAAGGAGAACAGAGGGAAGTGTCTTCTGACTTCCTTTATTTACTTAACTATTTTCTCAGTACCAAGAAGCATAGGATAATACATATTTTTCTGCACCTTGTTTTGTCTCAGCAGCAGCCGTCAAAAAATAATTGGTGAGCTCCAGTGTGTTGAGTTACAGTAAAAAAAAAAACAGAGAGGATATGGAAATATCTGGACCCTTAGTTCAAGAATATCTAGAAAGCTATATTCATATCCTCTTCTACTACACTGCTCTGAGACCTGGGGCAAATTTCTGAGCCTTAGGTTCCTCATCTATGAAATGAGTGGGCATCTTCTGTTATCTTGTTATTTTTAATCTATATTTTCGGGAAAGATTTGGAGAAAGGTTGCCTGAACAGGAAAGATCAAATATGACGTGGTATTTAAATTAGGATTCAGTCTTTTTTGAAACGCATGATAGTCCCAAGATTTACATGAGGCATTTTAAATGAAAAAAAAATTATGTTTGCTCAGTTGTGTCTGACTCTTTGTGACCCCATGGTCCATAGCCCACCAGGCTTCTCTGTCCATGAGATTCTCCAGGCAAGAGTACTGGAGTGGGTTCCCGTTCCCTTCTCCAGGAGATCTTCCCAGTCCAGGGATCAAACCCAGGTCTCCTACGTTGCAGACAGACTTCTTACCGTCTGAGCCACCAAGAAAGCCCTATGTATAACTGTAATTTTTAAAGTCCATAACAGATGTAAAGGGTGTATAGGTATATACATGTTTATATTTTAACACATATGAGGGTCAGTTCTAAGGAATGGAATTTCTGGGAGTGTCATGTTATTAAAGGTATGTCACAGAGGTGGGAGTATGTCCATGCAGGGGCAACCTTAATTGGACATAACTATCAGAGTAATATTTTTGTAGAACATAAGGTTTTCATTTCTATTATTTAATTTGATCTTTTCAGCTACTCTGTGAAATAAGCCAAGATTCACCATTAACCTTTAAGAAAACTAAGGTTTCAAGATGTAAAATGTAAGGTCTTGAGATGTAAGTCACAGTCATTATTGGCGGAGCATGGACTAAATTCTGTGTCTCTAAAGTCCTAGCTCTAGGCTTTTCTCCCTGCAGCAGGGGTAAGAGCATGCATCTCATTCCAGTCATATGTCCTAACAGCATTATGGCTCTGAGGATGTTTTCGTATTAAAGAGATCCCATATACTTTCATATTGAAGAGATCCCATATATGTATTCTGGAGAATGTAGTTTATCTAAAGGAATCCCTCTTTTTTTCCTAGGAATGCTTTTTGCTTGAAATATATATTCCTTGTAGGAACTATGTTTCCTCCTGTTGTAAAAGAATGCCATGATGTTTTAGGATACTGTTGGCATGGGAGGGGCTTAATCAGTCATTTATTCATTTACCCATTTATCAGTATGTGTTAGTCACATATTATATGCTAGGTACCGTTTTAAATTTGTATATACACTGATGGAGAGATGCAGTACCTGCCCTCAAGGAATCATCTTTATAGCCTGTTGGAGGAAGTATAAATAGAATCAGCAGTTAGAATGAAATATGATAAGGGAGAATGGGCAGGATAGGTGAAGGGGATTAAGAGATATAAGCTTCCAGTCATGGGTATGTAATGTACAAAATAGGGAATATAGTCAGTAATATTGTAATAGCTCTGTATGGTGACAGATGGAAGCTAGAGTTACCACGGTGATCATTTTGTAATGTATGAAAATATTGAATCACTGTCTTCTACACCTCTATGAAAATATTGAATCACTATGTTCTGTACCTGAAGCTAGTATAATATTGTATGTAAATTATACTTCAATTAATAAAGAAGCCCTTGATCTTTTGTACATCAAAAAATCAAAAAAGAATTAAATATAATAATTATAGTGAAAGTATATAAAAATGGTAACTTATGAGCTCATTGAACAGATTATTTCATTGGTCTGTGTCTACATATCTAGTACCAAACATAATTTTTTGCTCTGTAATGTTAAACTGAAGAGGAGTCCTGGAAGAATAAATATATTTGTATTCCTAGGAAAATCAGAGATTGTTTTTCAGAGGGTGGAACTGAAACATGCAAGATTTTATTAGTCAAGGGCATTTCAGACAAAGGAAACATGTTATGAAGACACAGAGGCTTGAAAAATTGTGGCGTATTTGGCGAGTGAAATATGAGGAGGGTGGAGATAAAGGCCGGACCAGTAGTCTAGACCTAAACACAGTGACCTTGCCTGTCATGCCAAGAAGTTAAGATTTTGTCCTGTAGGTAGTGAAGCATTAGTGAAGAACTTACAGTTCTTTCTTCAGTTCCAGAACCCCCTAAAAATGAAGAAAAGTGAAGAGACTATAAATAAATGACTAGTATTTGTATAGAATTTAAAAATTTGTGAGACATTTGTCTGTCATCCATTACCTCATTAAATTTTCACAACCGTCTTGCAGACTATAATTATTATCCTTTAATTACTGATGAGAAAATTATATGAGAGAGGTTTGTTTTTTCATTCTCTCCTAAATTCAGGCACTGTTTTAGACATTGAAGATACAGTAATAAACAAAATGAAGTCCCTTTCCTCATAGAGCTTATTTTCTTCTGAAGTGATATGCCCAGGGTCACAGCTAAAATGAAGTGAGATTAGACTTGAGCACAGTCTGCTTCAAAAATTCCATGTTCTTTCTACTATACTATTCAGTCCTAAAGAGCATTTATACTAGTGGATGAATCATTGAACGCATTGTACTTCAGATATGCCTGTAACTTTCTTAATTAGCCTTCTTTTCCCGTAAAACTACAATGTATAAAACTCACCCTTTGGGAATCCTGATTATATTCCTTCCTCCTTTAACTTGGCTCTCCTAGAATCTGCTGTTTATAGTCTTTTTAATGTGTGACTAACAAGGAATTCTGAAGTTATAATATGAAGTTAGTTTTCAAATTTAATTTGGATGTCACAGAAATATTTCTGGTAACTTAGAAATGGCTATAGTAGCTTACTATTTGTTATATCTGTAGCAATACCTTGATGATAACACTGTGGAAGCTATGACCTTTCGGAAGCATGCAAAGGAATTGTTGCAACTAGCAGCCGAAACATTAAAGAAGTTGGGAGTACGGTTCTGGCTGAGCAGTGGAACTTGTCTAGGTAAAATTCTTCTTGCTTTTCATTTGTCTTTTTGACATTTCATCCTCCTTGGCTTTAGTGATGACTGCTTGAGATGACAAAACATCGGTGGTATTTGAAGTGTCATATTTATAGACAGAATAAACACAGTGCAAGGAGCAAGGATTTATTGATTTTTTAAAAAAGAAATAGCTTCAAAATCATAAAACAGAATTAGGAAGGCCATGTTGTGTTTCCCAAAATAATGTGTATAAAATTTATATCAGAACATGTAGACTACATGTGATCCTCAGGTAATCTTTAGATTAGCATTTTATTATTTCTACCCATAGGTTGTTATTCTCTTTAAAAAGAAATTGTATTCTGTTTCTTTACATACAAACAATACAGACAACTTGCATTGCACCAAAAGTTTCTAAGAGCAAGTTTTTTGTAAGAGAAACAATGAAGGGGATGTTAAAAGTTCTTTCACAAATCTTTTCCACATCATGATGGTATCACTGATTGAACATCACTGTCTTACCACATTCTGCTTATCCTGAGATGGGAAAGTGTAGAATTCAAGAAAGATTTCCAAATCTCTTTCCACTGTTCATTAGATCAAACTTCTTTGGAATATAAATTATTTAGAATCATAAAATTTTTTTTATTCTTGTTTATAATGATAACTGATTATAACTGTTTTTGTTCCCTCTTAGTTATAACTATTTGTACAAAAGTTAATTCTGCTCCTGCTTTTAGAGGGCTAATCATATAATTTATTTAATTTGAGATGTTTTGAGAATGAAAGGAGTGCTGTTAGTAATTATGGTACAACAGGTATAAACAGGGGTATATGGTTATCCTGTCATTTAAGCTTTGTGGAAAATTTACATTGTTCTTCCTGTCAAGGAGTTTACAGCTAGAGTAAGCTACCTCTGCCCTTCGCCCTGCACAAAAAAAAGTACATCTCGTTTATACGATACATGCTCTAAGGTTTAACTTTTTGAAGCAAGATTGTTTTGTGGATTGTTACCAAAATTATTCTTAATCATTTGTCATGATATCTTTTGAGTTCTTAGCTCCATAAGGGCATTTATAAAATGAGAGAAGTTGGATTAGGTGATATTTAAAGTGCCTTCCATTTTTTTCTTTTTTTCATTCTTAATAATTTGTGGTTTTTTGATAGATGTGGATTATAGATTTTTCTTAAACTAGATGTGAGATCCTGTGCTTGACTTCTAAAGATCTATGTTAAAACTGAAATTAAAGTTTAGAATTTCAAACAGTATTTCCCAAAGGTAATTGTAGACATTTGTTTACTTTTTGAATACTTTGAGTGGAAGGAGTAGAAGGATAATAAGGGAAAACCCAGAGCCCTTAGTAATATTAAGGTATAAAGTTTTTTCCTTTTAGAAAGTACAATAGCACCTAACTTAGAGGTAGATGCATAGTAAATATGTAGACATATCTTTGGATGATATGTTGAAAATTGAGGTTGATACTGCTCTTCTTTTTTATATGGCCCATCACACATTCAGAGCTATTAAGTTCTACAAATTACTGCTTAGGAAAGGAATATTGATTAAGCAAAAGAATTAAATTATGTTTTTAGCATATCTTAAAAGCAACCTTCATCATAGATTTATGAGTAAACATTTAAAGAAGTAACAGTGTTTTAAATGAATGGCTCAGTTAACATTATTAAAGCTAATAGTTTATTCAGAAATTAAAGTACATCATGAAAAGTCTTGAGGTTGCTGAGTGCTCAGAACAGGTAAAGGAAGGAGGGAATAAAAGAAATACTCTTCAACAATTGGCTCCTATGATCATAAATATTAAGTTGGGATCTAATTTAAAAATTCTGATAAAGCACATTAAATCTAATCCTGTGAAATAAAATACATTGTTACAAAGACTGTCCATTCTAATAATTACTAATTATTTCCAAACTTAAGTTTTTAAAAAAGTTTTCTTATTCCTTTTTTTTTCTTTTTTTTTAGGATGGTATCGGCAATGCAGCATTATTCCGTATAGTAAAGATGTTGACCTAGGAATTTTTATACAGGATTACAAATCTGATATTATTTCAGCATTTCAAGATGCAGGACTCCCACTCAAACACAAATTTGGGAAGGTCAGTAATGAAAATGCTTCACTTCATTAGTAACATGTTTCAAAAGTAAAGTTTATATTAAGCAACTCAGAGATATTTCATGTAGCATTTTATCATTCAGTATTGGTCAGAATGAGTTCAGCAGAAAATTATTACCACTTGTGACTTCTGCACTATTTAAGGAAAACTAGAAAAGCTGGCTTTTTATTGACCATGAGAAAGTGAAAAGGATCTTGGACTCTTGAAGAATTTATTGCCATTACATTAGGGAACAACATAATGTAATAATTAATTAATATAATAAGTAAGAATCCCACCTACCCTACCTGAAGTCTCATTTATTTTTTTGTTTACATAGACATCATATTATTATCACCTCAAAACATTCCATTGATTGCTAAGGACTCAAAATACAGAATCATTTCAAACATTACTTGGGTTTCTTATTTATTTCACATGTCCTAGGTAATAGCAATTTTCTCACAGGTCAACTTGAATAGGTCATTGTGGCTTAGATGAAATCTCCTTTTAGATAATTTAATTCCTATAGCCTAAGCCTATGATCCCTGGCAATCACCTTACTCTTAATGCGCTTGTTCCCAGGGAGATGTTGTCCTGGAAAGCAAGAAGAAGTATGTTCTGTTTGTGGAAAATTACTTCCTTCATCATAATCATTTTAGTTTATTTAAAAATTTAATTAAGTATCTTCCTGAGGTCAAAGTCAAAGCAATAGAACTCTAGTCGTTTAGCAAACGACTTAACATTTCCTTAACAGCCAGTCTCTGCCTGGCACTGTGCTCGGCATGTGTGGCAAAGGTGAATGAGATACAGTGCGAGGAGCCCCCTGTCCACCTGAGAGAAAACGTGCCTAAACATTTCAGTGGCTAGCGCTGGAACAGGCAAGTGTACCAAGTCCAATGGGCACTTGGAGGATAGGTTCGTAGGATAAGTTTCTTAGGGAAATGCTCTCAGAATTCTTTGTACTTTTATTTCTTCTCTTTTTGTATATATAATGTAATGATATATGGGTTTCTATACTACATTTACGTAAGTACTTAGTTATTGATTATAATGATTTACTTCCTGATAGTTTTACTTGGTCATTAAAGGGAATAATTTTTCTTTGATTACTTTTCTTTTTTCATCAGAAAGGAGCTCTGGAACAGGATGTTTTGCAGAGTGATCCTTTAACTACTACAAGTCATGTATTCTGAGTTGTCATCAGTTCTAAAAAGCAACATTATTTTATGTACATTTAAGAAAGAAATCTAATGATTGTGTGCTACTAATGCATCCCAATTTCAGAGATGCTCCAGCGTGAAAAAACAGTTATCTTAAAACCTATACTCTCTCCATATAAACCATAAGAATCTTTTTTTCTTTTGATTTTAAAAAATGTTATTTCCTTTGTTTCAGTCTGTAAAGGTTTTCATCTTCTCCCTAGGTAGAAGACAGCTTGGAATTGTCTTTCCAAGGAAAAGATGATGTAAAACTTGACATTTTTTTCTTCTATGAAGAGACTGACCATATGTGGAATGGAGGCACTCAGGCCAAAACAGGAAAAAAGTTTAAGTATGAATCAGATAAGTTCTTACAAAGGGGGCTTTAGAAATAACTGCAGAAGGTAGAAGTAAGGAAGTAACTGAAAATGGGGTGAGATGGGGAATGACCATCAAGGCTCCACTGTTAGCTGATACTTCTCAGCTTCCCAAAGAGTTCCCCAGTTTTGCTTGAGAAGTGAGGATACCTATAAGGACTGAGGAAGTGCCCCTGGATTTGTCACTGCAAAAAGTCATTATGATTAGAAGCCCTTGTGTCATCAGAAAGGGAAAACCAAAATAAGGAACAGAAAATTAGGCCCATATTCTGAGCCAAAAAACCAATTGGCTGCTAGAGCTGTTGGAACTTGATAATTTGATGAGAATGGGTAAGGATCAGTAAGAAGGGAATAGTTAAGGTGAAGTGAAGTTTAAGTGAGGAGATTGGGATTGGCTGGAACTGAAGTCATGAATGCTGGGCAAGCTCTGAAATGTGCCTTTAGCATAGACTGAGGCCCATTCTTTAAAGGATACTTTAAAGGATACATTTAAAGGATAATATGGTAGTTAACAGCTACCACATTTTGTCAAATGTAAGGTGATATGCACTGTAAGATGTACCATTATTGTATGTGCTAACAAGAAAGGAAAGACACTGCTAATTATAATCTTTTTTAAGACACTTGATTCAGATAGAAAATTATAGGGGGAAAGTGTCTCAATTCTGAATTAATTGATGGACTACAATATATTAGACTGGCATTTTGAGCTTTTTTTTTTTTAATGCTGCCGTAGTCAAACTCTTTGATTACAAAAGACAAAAATATAGAGTAACTGTGTATATACCCTTTATGATGCAGTTGGCCTGTTCACAGTTCTGAGAGAGAGAGAATGAATGTGAACTTGAACCCAAAGAATGTGGGCTCTGAAGTCAGGCAGACCTGGAAAATGTCAGCTTCACCCTAACTAATTGTAGCCTTTAGCTTTTTTGAACATTAATCTCATACTACTGTAGGTCAGGGACTGATGTGAACATTTTTCGTGTATTAACACATCTAATCCTCGTAACAACCATAGATAGTCTGTGAGGCACTGAGAATTTAAGTCATTTGTTCAACATCACAGCAAATAAGTCAGGCAGCAGCCTGTCTCTGGAGTTCATACCTTTTATCACTACCCCCTACTGCCTCCCTAATACACCTGACTGTATGAGGCACTTAGTGTAATACTTATCCCTTATTATCAGTAAGTGGTGGTTACCTTTGTTATAATTGTCTAATGTTATTAATATTATGATTGCTAGTGTGACTGCTGTCATTGTTGTCATTATTATGGTTCTATGTCATTCTTACTGGTTCTTATGACCAGGAGCATAGATTTACCTCACCAACGAGCTGAGATTAGGGCTTCTGTCACTGAGTAAACTTGAGCCATCGGGCACACTGGACAATGATCTGTGGCACAGAAGAATAATTCCAAACGCAGACTGGTTTCTCCTGGATATATAGACATTACATACTTTATTTGAAGGCAAGGAGTCTCCATGTAGTATTAACCTTGTTCTGGAGATTTGAGAATAATACAAACCTTTTTTCTCAAAGTCATAAAGTATCCCCAAATTGACATGATCCTGGAGTGTGTTCCTGAAGCTCATATATTATAAAAAATTATTTTGCTTTGTGACAACAAATACCTTCATGCTAAGTAAGCTCTGATTATAAGACAAAAATACTTAGTAAGTTAATAAATATATAGTTGATACTCTCACTATGGCTAAGTGAATAGGGAGGTGTTTTTTTGATGTTTAGCTAGTTTGTTTATTAAAATATAATAAAAATGCAAAACTTAATGTATAATTTCCAGACTTTTAAAAAAAACAGCTGTGAGATAGTATAGCATAGAAATTAAAAGCATGGAGCCAGTCTGTTTGCTTTTGGATCCCAGCTCTCCATTTTATAAGCTAGTTATTTAACTCACTGTTCCTAAATTTCCTCAAATGTAAAATGAGAATAATAATAGAAATTGCTATATAGAATGGTTTTAATAACTTAGGTAATCCACAAAAAGGGTTTTGAAGAGAATTAAACATATCTTGAGTGCTAAGAAGCTATTAGTTGCTATTATTAATACTCTCAGTAGCAGTAAAGAAAACTATTCTTCTTCTTAGTCTTATAAGAAATTTATAGATCAGAAACCTGTATAATTATCTCAATATTAAACTGCCACATCTGTTCTAAGAAACCTCATGAGAATGTCACCTTTTGTTTCTGGAGCTTGTATTATAATCCTGTTATTCTTAATTTTTCTTCTAAAGCTTGGATTTCTTTCTTCCCACTGGCATGATCCCATGTCAAACCTCAAAAGAACTGTGCATTTCTAACCACTACATCTCTGGCTAGAAAAAGCTTCTTTCATTCTGCTTTAACTGCTCTTTATGGTAGCAGTGTTTGGGAAGTGTGAAGTGTTCTGATTATTTAATGAGAGAAATGAACAGTGATAGAACTGCCTGGACAGATGGTTTGAGTCCCAGATTTTCTATCATGTTACTGTGACCTTAAAAGGCAGAGAAAAGAACAGGGGATGGTTGTGAAGAGTAGTTTCTTTGGAAGATTCTCCCAGCCATATGCCATTTTCATTCTTTTCAGCACTATTTACTGTAAGAAACTGTAGAATTATCACCACTACTATTCCTAGAGGGAAAAATCTTTAAAGCTAGTCTAAGGGTCTTTTTATCTTTATAATATTCTACTTTTTATTCATGTGTAGTTTATTCTGAGAAAAAACTTAATGATAATATAGAATACTTACTGTTTTTTAATGGCTCAGATAGTTAAGGATCTGCCTGCAATACAGAAGACCTGGGTGGGGAAGATCCCCTGAAGAAGAGAATGGCTACCCACTCCAATATTCTTGCCTAGAGAATTCCATGGACAGAGGAGCCTGGCGGGCTACAGTCCATGGGATTGCAAAGTCAGACGTGACTGAGCAACTAACATTTTCACTTTCACCGTTTTTTATAAAGCCGAAGAGGAGCTCAGGAAGGAAGCAAAAGGTTCCCCCTTTTAAAACTTTGCTCTGCATGCCTTCAGAATGATGTTTTGGTCATAAGACTGAATTACATTACAATATTGATAGCAAATGATAAAGCTATAGCTACCAGGGTATCTACCTATATATCAGGCTCTATGATAGGTGTTTTATGATCTACTCTCAGATCATCCTCACATGTTTCCTGTGGGTTAGATATTCTCACTCCCAGTTAGATATGAGGAATCTAAAGCTCAGAAAAGTGAAGTAACTTGCTCAAGGTTCTCTGGCCATTAGTGATAGGGCCAAGATTTAACTTAAAACATATTGGGTTTTTAAGCCCAAATGCTTCCATCTACTAAGAGTTAATAGGTCAAATGAGTTAATACATGGAGTAATGCGTGTAGAACAGTACCTGGCACATAGTAAGTACTGTGTAAGTATTAGCCACAGCTGCAACTGCCGTTACCGTATTATTATTCTTTTCCTGTTACTTCTCGCGTTACCCTGGTAAAAGTATAGGACATTCAACACAGTGTTAACTTGTGTTAGTTACTCTGGGTAAGCATTTTTTTCCCAGGTCTCATATTTCTTCCATCTTTAGTTCTTAGTCTAAGCCTGTACTTTCACCTAAAATCCAAATTCTCTTCTTAAATATTGTCTAGATTTTTAATATTTACCTTTCTTTTCCAAGTTTCAATCACCAGTGATAAAAGATCATGAATAAATATATTAACCTTGCCTCCAGATGTGAAATTTTCATTCCACAACTTTACAGTTCTTATAGATGCTGCTCAGATTCCTCTGGATTATTTCTTTCCTTCACATCTGAATCAACTAATATAAGTGGAGGCCAGAAGTTTAAGAGGCAATAATGTCATAACAAAAATTAACTTCTATTGAATAGTTACTATGTTCTAGAAACTATGCCAAGTTTTTATATACATCTTCTCATTTAACCCACACCACAAATTTATAAAGGAGGTTTACTGTCACCTCATTTTATGGGTGAGGAAATTAAGGCAGAGCTAAGACTCAGACTTGGGCCATATCACTTCAGAGCCTGTATTCCAACCTGCGTACAATACACTGTCACCACAATCTCAGTCATATTGTTAATACTCTCTCCGTGAAAAGAGCCCTTCTGTTTATTGACATTGTCAGAATATTACAGCTACCTCTGTATCCGCTGATAGAAAATTTACTACCCCGGGGCTAGTTGTGGGTTCCTTAGACCTTCTGTTATATTCAGCTTCTGCTTATTGTATAGATCTTCAAAAAAAATTGGATTTGTCCTCTGTGGGACTAGACTTATCCAAGTGTGACTCCTATATAATTTAACCTTTCATTTCTGAAGAACTTATTTGCTAACTGCTATGTGCCAAGGATTCTGATGTGAATATAACTTAGTTTCTGCTCTCAAGAATCTCATAATCTAGACTGTGAAACAGATATTAAAGTACTCTGTCCGCAGAACATGATTTAAATAGGTGTCATGTATCGTTGAGATACAGATCCACTCTATCTAGAATTAATGACAAGGAAGTGTGGCATAAAATACAGAGAAGTTTGTTAGATGGACTTGGGAGGAATATGGAGAAGGGTCTAATAATAGGTTTATTTAACTATTTTTATATTTAGATTGTTTCCATTTTTTATTACTGAAAAATTCCGTGAGCATCTTTGTATATTAAGTGTAAGTTTTACTAGGGATTGTTTCTTTGAATAGATTCCCAGAAGTAGAATTACTATTATTGTTTGATCATGCTGTTTGAGAAATAGAGGGGTAATTGGGTAATCTTCTGATAACAGTAAAAGTACAAGATTTTACCCTCAGTGTTTTGTTTTATCCTTTGACTCTTTTAAGGCACTTTGCAGATCTACAGGCCTCCTCAGTCGTCTTTGTCAGCATGCTTTATTCTCCCTGCCTTTTTTCCCCTATTTTTTTTTTAAATAGACAGCTAATTTTGTGATAATTTTAGATTCACAGAAAAGAAAATAATATAA